TGAACACAATCAGATATAATTTATCACCCTTTACTGGACTCAAACCGGATGATTCCAGCTGAATCAGACGAGGACGCTCCTTTTATTAAGGAAGTTTCATTGTGACCTTCTACCAAGACGACAGACGACATCTGAAGAACTTGCTTCATTGACAGATGAACGATCCGAGCTCAACGTAGTCCTTGGATCTCGGATCGTCAAAACGTATTTGAAACTCTGGTTGAGAGAAAGTTAGCATAGCCAGAGCAAGGTCTCTCTACAATACCGCCCCTAATTTTTGTTCAATCGCCGAAATGTGATAGTGATATCAATATGATCACGGAATCATAAGCTTTTCGAAAATGCTGATATTGATGGCTTTTGGAGATTGAAACCGAAACTTCTAATCGAACTGGAGGGTTTACGACAGGGTGATGTCCGCAGGTACTGCTATTGGCAAGTAGAGACTCAAGCACTGAATTCCTCGAAAATGAAGTTGAAGCACTGAACAAAAGTAGGAGTTCCTTAGTCCATTGAATTCCGCATGATCTAGGCTATCCATTTTTCTTATTTTCAGATCATTTGGACCATTCCTTCAAAAGTTACAGCAAAACGACGCTTTGCTACGGAAAGTTGTCTCACATTTCGGCGATTGAACAAAAATTAGGGGCGGTATTGTAGAGAGACCTTGCTCTGGCTATGCTAACTTCTCTCAACCAGAGTTTCAAATACGTTGTGACGATCCGAGATCCAAGGACCTACGTTGAGCTCGGATCGTTCATCTGTCAATGAAGCAAGTTCTTCAGATGTCGTCTGTCGTCTTGGTAGAAGGTCACAATGAAACTTCCTTAATAAAAGGAGCGTCCTCGTCTGATTCAGCTGGAATCATCCGGTTTGAGTCCAGTAAAGGGTGATAAATTATATCTGATTGTGTTCATAGATTCCCCATTGGAGAACAGTTGTTAATGTAGAGATCATGCTGGTTAGCTTATGACTCCTCCCCAAGAAAGTGAGCTAAATAGAGGAACAGATGTCATCTACTGGAAACTGGCAGAAGTCAAATAGCCGTAGGTAAAAAAAATCATCTATTCTTCCTGGATTGTTTCGCATGTATGGCTGAGCAACATGAATAAAAGGCTGTCTTGTTTCCTTTTATGCTCGAAGTGGCCCGGCATTGGCTGTGGCACTTGCAGCTGGAGTCCAATGCACAACTTCTACGGTATTTCATAAACAAGAAGGACAAGGGACCGACCCAGCACTGTCATAACTATTTTCTTATGAGCTGTAGTCAATGTACCCACCTTCAACCATTAATCATAGTCGGGGAGGCACGTTTGTTTGAGCACCAAACTCTATATTTCCGAATCTCTCCGGATTCAGTGAGGCGCCTCACAGCTGTCATATTGCCCCATCAGAAACGTTCTATCAAGCAATAGCTAAGCTTTCCAGATTCTCCTGCAACATCGCCGAGTGAGCATCGATATTTTGATTCGAATAGGGCCGCAAGTCGACTAGCGGCAAGATGGCACCTATCCACGCGAAGCGGTTCGCGGGCGATCAAATCCTGGGTCGTGAGTCGCCCGGGCCAACCAAGCCTTCCATCCCTCCGGGGTCGGTTAATTGGTACCAGACTTGTCTGGGAGGATAAAAACACTGACTTGTACATCGGCTGGCCCCCGCAAGTCATTGTATAGGCCACATCGCATTCAAACGCCACTACGAATGTACAAATGGAAGTAGAATGCGTGCCGCATCCCAAAAGGGATTGATCAACGGCAAATGCTTTATCTTTTATCCTTTTATAAAGAGCGAATAGTATGTAGTGGGTGGCATCATCAAATAGAAAGAGGTTAGTAATAGTGGTCCATACCCATAAGCAGAGAGGACGTGTCCTACCTTCCTGCCTTGTGGTTGATCTTTCGCGCAGTTGAGTATTCGGAAGAATTTCATGGACACCCATAAAAGATGAGCCTTTGAAGTAGGTTGGAGATAAATTGAGCAGAGACCATGAAAAGCGACAAGCAAGTTGGCCGTTCAGCTTTTCAGATTAGTCAGCGCGGATTCTGTTAAGGAGGTACTTTTCGTGCCGTGCCGACATTTTCCAGTAACTCCCATGGTAACAAAAATAAAGCGCTCAGGAAATTGTGGGTCCATCTGATACTTCGCTGCAGAGGCTGTCGATTTGTTCTGCTTCTGTCAAGTGCTCAGTGTTCTTTCTCCCAATTCACTTTTGTATTTTCAGCTACAAAATAACATACCGTTGCGTCCTGGCTCTCCGCTCGCTCCTGGTGGTCCAGCTTCTCCTGGAGAGCCGTTTGCCCCTGGGATTCCGTTCCGTCCATCTTTTCCCGCGAATCCGGGTACGCCCTAAAATTTTAAGAAGCAATCGACTGAACAAACCTCCCTTCAATCGTCTTCCCAATAACCCAGTTCTCTCGTTTGAAGGCAAACACAAGAGTGAGGTTGGTGGGGTAAAGTCCTAGCTCGAGTAAGGTGAAGAGGTCTGCAGGAACACTGGATGTACTGATTGCGTGTCACGACATCGCTAGGCATAGTCCCCAGCACCAGAGGGTGCGTAGCTGACTCCAATTAAAAGCGGAATTCACGCTGAAAAGGCAACCCTTTTCAAGGTAAGGATGGTCAGTGATACAAGAAAGAAGGAAAACCATGAGCGGCAGAACCCGAGAAATGGGACCCCTTCCTTGCCCGTTGATTTCCGCATTGATGCGAATCTCATCGTGCCCCTTTTTAACGCTCTCGCTGCCCGGGCCTACCACCCCATTTGCGCCAAGAGTGAGGTCAAATCTTTCGCTGCCAATTGCGCGTCGGTCCGCACCCTCAGGAGATCCCCCTGTCTCCCGATTAGGCAATTTTCCTCTTCTTTCACCTTCGTTAGTATCCTTTAATCCTCTTTTAGCGGCCAGGTCCTGCCCAGAAATTTACAACAGGCCGTACTCTAATTGCGTGACCATGCTCTCTCGCCCACAATTTTCTTTTCTCTCTCTTCTGCACCCAGAATCGTTTATCTTATTGTACGCCCTTGAGAACCATTACAACCCAGAGAATAGAAGACGATTTCTGTGTTTTCAGTGATTTTTTCTTGATCATACTTAGTTTTTCAGATCCACAAACACCTTTGCTTGGTCCACTCAAACCTCTAGTTTCAACTTCGAGCACAGCAAATGTGCGATTTGATCGCGAGATGCGCGCTCCATTTGATTCAGCTCGATACCTAACAAGAAAGAGTAGCTCGGCGCAAAGTACGTACCTGTGGTCCAGGAGGTCCAGGTTCTCCCTGCTTCCCTTTTGGACCATACGGGCAGATCATGCAGCCGTCAATATGCTGATAAAGAGCTTCAGGCAGAATTCCAGGAGCACCTGGTAATCCAGGTGCACCACTCTCACCATGAAGCCCGTCTTCTCCATCCGCGCCTGAGAATGGTTGAGATAGGTTTTGGACTTGAGCAAATGTTGTCGTACCTCTTTTCCCAGGTGGTCCACGAGGGCAGTCGTTGTGATATTCGCATTCGCAGTAATCGTAAACTTGACGAGGAGGACGATTAGACTGCGTCTCAGCCCGCAGCTCCATCCAGACCTGTCGCTCCAAGTCAGAGAAGGCGGATAGTTCATCGTAAAGAAGTGATCGTATGGTCGAAATACGATACCACATTATTGGTAGGAAGCTGCAAAGAGATCAGTTGTGCCTATGCATTGAGAGAAACATTTCCCCCATCATAATAAAAGAAACCCTTTCTTCGGGCTGGAAGTGGTGTAGAAGCAGGTGGCGGTGCTTCACCACAGATTGATTCTGATTGATCTAGTCAGAGGCTATGACGACGCAGAATTGAGTTTGGAAAACATTCACAGTGAATTGTAAAAATAAGCAGCGGAAGCTAATGAAGACAGAAAAGAACAGGAGCGAACAGAGACTTAAGGGGCCTCGAAGTGTTGCAACACTTTCAATTCCTTCAGAAAGAACTTGGTCCTGACTAGTGACTGAGTTTGCTCGGCTGATTTAGCGCACCACAAAAAAATTCTTCAGTTCTTCGCCGGTAAGCGGGGCACATCCTAGCTCGAACCAGGGTCAACCCTACGTTGGTACAAGTACCAACGGGGGGGTCGTACTTGGTTTAGCTTGGAGGGGGGGGGGTCGT